ACTCCCGCACCCCATCCAATCCCTCCTCTCATTCCTGACGGCCCCCCCCCCCGGGACCCTGCCCTATCCAACCACCCCTTCTCCCTGTCCCCTGACCACCCCTGGAACCCCTGCCCCTGACTGCCTCCTGCCGCCCCATCCAACCTCCCCTCCTTCCTGACTGTCCCCCCTGGGACCCCTGCCCCCATTCAACCCCCTTTTTCCCCCCTGACCACCATCCACACCCCCGCCCCCTGACCACCACCCCGAACTCCCCTGCCCTCTATCCAACCCCCCTGCTCCCTGCCCAAAGCACTGGTGGCTGGCGGTGCTACAGCTGGGCCATGCCACCGCTGCCACCACGCAGCACAGAGACCGGGTCAGGCCGAGCTCTGCAGCTGCGCTGCCCCAGGAGCTCACAGCCCCACTGCCCGGAGCATTGCCCCGGAGGCGGGGTGAGCTGAGGCTGCGGGGCTAGGGAACAGCGGGACAGTGGCTGGGGCTACTCTCCCGGGCCAGGAGCTCAGGGGCCGGGCAGAACGGTCCCGCGGCCCGCCGTAGTTTGCCCACCTCTGTGCTATAGGAACGCTGCGTACGATCATTGCAACAAGTCTGACCTGCAGGGACTGGCTCAGCGGCTGCTGCCCCTCGTCTCCTCCCCTCTCCCTGAGCAGGGAAATCCCCCGGGACAGGCTGCAGACGCCCTCATCCCTTCTCTGGGCAATGGCTCTCTCGAGCTCTTCCAGCCGGGACAGCAGCCGCTGCTCCTGCCCCTCCAGAAACCCTCGCAGCTCCTGCCACTCCCAGACGATCTTCCCCCTCTCGGCTGCCGTCTGTTTCTGCAATCACAGGGAGAGGGCGGGTTGGTACGGGGGGAGAACTAGAAATGCACCTCCTGGCGGGTGGGGGAGTTATTTACCAGAGCACAGGACCTCTTGCGCTGGGGGATGGGAAGTTTATTTACCCCAGGAAGGGAGGACGGATCAGGGCAGGGGTGAGCTGTACATCGCTCACAGGGGGAGACTGTTCTCCCCAAAACCTCATCAGATTGCCCTGGGCCAAACTCTCCATCTCTGCAGCCCACAGTTCCTCCCCATCCCCCCTAGGCGCTAGAAAGGATCCCCGGTCGCTGTGACGTGCAGCCAGCCCGTGGGCAGGGGCTCTGGGCTCACACAGACTGGCCCTCTCCTGCCCAGCAGCCTCCTGCCCCCTAAGGGCATCATGTCACCCCCGTGCCTGACCCTGCCTCTCCCGGGGCTCCCGTGGGGATGGGTCCCCGGCTGAGGCGGGCAGGCTGGGCCCTGCATTCACCGTCACTCGGGGCTCTGGGACCCCCGGCAAACCTGAGGGGCAGGGGCTCTGGGCACCTACCAGCAGCTCCTCGCTTTGCCGCTGCACCTCGGCTTTGGCGGCTTCTCCCTCATCTCGCAGAGGGGCCGGACGCTCTGGTGGGGGCTCCTGGAAGAACCAGGGGAGGGGGTTACACGCCGCTGCAAACCACCTCCCAACTGCCAGATTTCAGGGCCTGTCCCGCCCTGCAGAGCCCCTGGGACTCCCTGAGACCTTTTTTCCAGCTCTAATTCAACCTCAGCAAGGATGATGTGGGAGGCGATGGTGAAAGGGGGGGACCAGGTTTTCCCGAGAAAACACAGGACTGTGGGGTGAAGTGACGGGGATGCAGCCCAACCTCCCTCCCCCCCCCCCCCCCCCGACTGTCAGCTTTGGATATCGGCTGACTCTACCCACATCCTAAGCGACCAAGTTCAGACATTGCCCCAACCCCGGCCACACACACCCCACAAGCGCCAGATGAACATGGAGCCTCCCAAACCGAATACCCCCCAAACTCGCCACTCTTCGCCCCCCACTGACACCCCCCCAAATTCCCAGCTCTTCCCCCCCACTGACACCCCCCAAACTCCCATCTCCTCCCCCCCCACTAATACCCCCCAAACTCCCCGTTCTTCCCCCCACTGACACCCCCAAACTCCCTGCTCTGCCTCTCCACTGACACCCCCCC